TAGACTATACCCGGAGAGATTTGTTTAAATAAACGAGTTGTATTTCTTTTGACTGGTTAATGTTAGACAAAAAGAATTGCGAAATACTTATAAAACAGTCTACAAATAAAGAAAATAAAAGTGTTAAATAAATTTCAAGAAGTTCTTTCACTTCGACAAAGTGACATGTCCTTGAATTCTCCTCGGCAAGGCTTAATTGTGGTTTCACAGCTTCAAAGAGTTGGCTTCTTTGACGGAGTGGCCTTAGAGAGGCCCGGCCCTTGCGAAACAAAGGCTTCACTTTTATCTCGATACGAATGTCGACTTTTTCTTTATTTTTGTATTAGTAGTTGGTAATTTCATGTACTTTGTATGAATGAATAAATAAATAAATATGTTGGGACATTAACACACAGCACCATCTAGTTCCATGGTAAGCTACGAGGCCTGTGTTATGGATACCAGATAGTTGAAACACTACACATGTATAACTTTAAATACATACATATTATTAATATAAATAAATATGATAATAAAAATAAATAAAATATGAAATAATGAATGTCTTCATATGATCTGAACAGTCTCTAACTACGGTAGATTTATTATAATAATCAACGACTTTAAAAAATATACCCACGTAAAAGTATGTAACATATAGATTATAGTAAGTTCATAAAGATTATCCCTTATCTTATAATATGTTGAACATAGTAATATTTCTCAGTAATTATTAAGTAAAAATTAAAAATTATTCAGTAAAAAATAAAAGTTTAGCAAACATAAACATTCACTCCACTAACTAAACAAGTTCCATAAATTTTCGGATTCATATTGATATAATCTGCAAATAAAACACAAAGCCGAAATTTGGTCCTTTGAGGTATTTTGCTCTAATTAACGTATATTTATAACTAATATTGATTAAAGATAAGATTTCACAACACCTGCTGTAAAGGTTCTTTATCTGCGAATGTTTGCAAGACAGAGATCCTGTCGTGCTCTAATTTATAGATAGACTTGAAACACTGAGGGCATGCTCCCGAAACCGACGCAAGGTGCGACGGCGTGTGCGAGATAACAAACCTAAACATCCTCATGAACGAGGGTAATGTTTTAAGGGAGTGAGACAGAGGATAGTTTTTTAAGAATAAAAAATGGTATGGTATAGCAAGGAAACAATACCAACCGTATTTCCATCGCCATAAAGCGATAATTTCAACAACCACCTTAGGCACGCGACAGCAGCAGGTGGGAGCACTTCTTTAAAAAACTAACAATCTTTTTACAGTGCATTGTTAAAGAAGCTGCGTTGTTTTTTTTAATACTTGCGTATTTTTAGTAGAATATTTAAAACAAATATGGCTATTGCTATTACCTAATTGGTGTATGATTATACATATATTAATATGATTTAAGTCACAGAAGATAATAAATTAGCTATGTGTATTTATTTATACAACATATTTTATATATAATACTTTCTTATGTTTGTTTGATTTTTGATTGTATGATTGGTGTAAAGTATTCGAAACGTCGGGAACCAAAAATCAAACTAAACCCGCGAAATAATCCGGAAAGATAGTTTTATTTTAATATGTTATATATCTTACAAATTGTATATTATTTATTTGTTATAATAGGTATATTATATCTTAGTGATAATTACTGTTATTTATCTACCATCTGTCAAATAACATATCCTAATAATAGAGTTATTAGAGGAGTGACTTCTAAACTTCCTTATGTTGGGATAAAAAGTGTGTGGAGCGTGGGGCGCGTGCCACTACACCGATATAAATAGTGAAAACGGTAAAAATAGCCGCAGCCGTGTGCGCGATAAAAACGTTTAATTTACGTGATACGCCACTGTGTCCCGACACTTATGTTTTTTTATGTGTTTTCTTTGAGTCAATAGTTCCCTCGGAAGTTACTGAAGGACAAAGTTAGGCACCAGAATGCCTTATTTGTCTTTGTAACTTTACACTTATGTATGTTATATACTCGTACATAGCGAATTGCTCATAAGTTATGTGCAGTCTGGTTCCTGAGTCTTGTCGCTATCACATAATTCTAAGTAATAATTATAATTTATATTAATGAGTGTTGTTGGCATAATTGAAATAATTTACTTCCAGGTTATTTCTTGAGTCATGCTTAATGACAAGAGAAATTACATAGCTCAAAAAACTCTTTGAACACACTTGCTAATTCTTATAAAAGTGGAATTTATATTGATAGAGTTTAAGACAAAAAAATATTAATAAGATAAATAAATAACTTTAAAATAGGTATAATACCTATTTCTGATAGTCTCTCTAGCCCATTCTTCACAAGTTAGGATACCTACATATTGCCACATCAATTCAGATCAATATTCAAAAATGGTAACCCAATATCTTTACATACATCAGGCATTTTTAAAATATATTATATTTTAATACATATTTGTTATTAATAAAAATGATAATATATCTATATATATAAAAGAAAGTCGTGTTAGTTACTTCGCTTATAACTCAAGAACGGCTGAACCGATTTAGCTGAAAATTGGCAGGGAGGTAGTTTAGAGCCAGGAGAAGGACATAGGATACTTTTTATCCCGTTCGACCGCGTTCCAATTTTTATGATATTTTAATTTTTGGATTTCTCTTAGTCCGGAATAGGTAAGTATTAAAACATATAATTAAAATGTGAGAAAGAAAGATTTTTTCTTTTTATATCTATTTAAAACGTACCTAGCGACGAACCCGAGCGAAGCGAGGGTGAGCCGCTAGTTTATTAATATAAAACTTACGATCATTTCTGAATTTTCTTTATTTTATGTAGACGCTGCACAATTTTGTAATTCATTGTTATCATTTAGTTTCAAAAATCATCTAGAAATAAACAACATTGTCTAATTTTTAAAATATTTTATCGTTAGGCAAATTATACAAATCGCGACAATTATAATATTTAATGCCACCTTTCAATTTTCTCATCTAAGAACATCAACGCATATCTACAAACTATTAAAAGCATTTTAAAATGTCCTATATTTTACGCCGATATGCTGTCGCCGGCTATAGGAATAGTAGCGTATGTGTTAATTCAAGATTAAAACCATCTCCACTCAGAATTTCATGCTAAGCTGTTGAGCCGTTACAGCACGAGGAAATAACAAACACTTACTGACTCTCAAACTTGCGTATCATAATATGAGAGTCAAATATATTGCGAATATTTGAATGGTCAACGCAAACATTTTGTGCTAAGATAGATATATAATAGGTAGAGCCCACAACTTTTAAATTAGAAACGATGTAGAAATGAGAATACCCAACTCAATACGATAGTTACTGAAAGTATAGATAATAGTTAGATGATTGAGATACCTCGTAGGTACCTAAGTGCTTATTAATCTATACTAATATAATAAAGAGGTAAAGTTTGTGAGTTTGTGAGATTGTGAGTTTATGACGTTGTAGGGAGTAATCTCTGGATCTACTGAACCGATTTAGATGAAATTTGGTAAGAAGATAGTTTGAGACCCTGGGAAGGACATAGGATAGTTTTTATCCCAAAAATCATCTCTTAAGGGTGTGAAAATGGGGATGAAAGTTTGTATGGGGAACCAAGCTAGGAACGAACCCGAGCGAAGCGAGAGTGAGTCGCTAGTAATATATATTTTTAAATATGGTATAAAAAATTAAAATTATGAGTTAAAATGTTTAAGTTTCATTTTCCTTTACTCCATAATATTATTAATATAGTTATAAACAGTATTTTTTTCAATTGAGTTATTGGGGTTTTAAGTAGGTACCTACCTAATGATCGTATTTAACTTTAAAAGTTTAGTTCGATAACACAATTTTTGGTTTAATTTTCATCAATCAAAAACAATTTTTATTTATTTTTTACAATTTGAGGAATATTTTAGTAAAAGCAGTTTTAAATTTTATTCTTCATTCTTAAAATCAACGGCCGGCGGATTTCTATAACTTTCATTTGTTCTGTCTTTCTCAAAAATATATACCTATGCAATTAGTACCTACAAAATATGATATTATTATAGCCATATCCTTTATAAATTACAAAATGTATATAGGTAATTAAACATTTTCAGGTTAAAATGTTATTTTTCCATAGTTGTATAATAAATAATAATAAATGCACAAGTTGTTTTATATTATACCTATACATTATAGAGAGTCAATGCGAAGTTTATTTGTGTTATGTCGCTGATCATGTCGCTAATTTTATTTTGATATTAATTATATTTGAAAAATAAATATTCAAGTAGCTACTTACTTTTCCTTTTATATTAATATTATAAATGTGAAAGTATGTTTGTTTGTTTGTCCTTCTTTCATGTTAAAACAGATTGACGGATTGGCGTGATTTTTTGTGTGGAGATAGTTGGAGGGCTGGAGAGGGACATAGGCTACTTTTTACTGCGGGAGATTACCTCATTCCCACGGGAACACACGTTATAATACAACCCAAAAAATAATTTATGGTCAGAATTACTTCAAACTTGGTATTAATTCTCTTCAATATAATTAAATAAATATCTGTTTTAGCATTTTTCTAAATTCATCCCATAAGGGGGTAAAATAGGGGATGAAAGTTTGTATGAAAACTACCTTTTTAGAGATTTTTTGTAGTTTTAGCGCGAGCGAAGCCGCAGGTTCTGCTAGTAGTTTATAAATGTTAAACACTGCATCTATCAAAATAAATTTATATCGATATTGTTTACTTTGATATGTCGATGAAAGTACATTTGACAGATTAAAAATGTGCACATACGTTCATCTATAAGTCATTAAGGGTCATAGATTTAAATAGTTTTAATATGCTCCTTTAAAATATACGAGAGTATGAAGTTCTATATACGAGTATTATACGGATTATTTCATCAAAACGTATTCATAATTCTTAAGAAATATAAATCTATAGATGTTCTCAAATTAGTAACAGAAAAAGAAAGCGCCGCCCGCCCCGTACGGGAGCCGATCGTAAACATAAAAAAGTGCTTATGTGGTGCTCGTTACGGGGGCTAAAAAACTACCAGAGAAACATAATGTAGTAGCGGCCATAAAAAGTGAATGCATTGCGTGCACGTGGAGTGCAACGGGGTGCGGCGGGCGGGGGTGCGGGGCAGGCACGGACGGAGGGGGGAGGGGGTCAGCTGAGGAGGGGCGTGGGGGTGTGTTTACCGCGAGGGGCGGCCGGCTCGCACCGCGCCATCGCCAGTGTTGTGGTAGGTCCCACCAAGTGCGATTGTACATCGCTACCTTCATTCGTTGACGCGACTCCGCGCCGGCGGAACATGTCAACCTCGACTTAGCCAAAACCATTCAATAGACAGTTAATATTATCAATACAGACGGCTATCGCGAATATATATAGACATTTCTAGTGGTGAAACTAAATGCATTTCGTGAAGTTGGTGTGAAATGGCCTTATCGCTGCAATCAAACCAGAACGCCAGAGGTTTGTAATATTTCTAATATTTATTTTTATATGTAAAATGCGAAATGTTTATGAATGAAAGTTTCAAAAGTTAGCGGGTCGGCATGCGTGTGAGGAAGGCCGCGATTGGGCGAGAGGGCGCGATGCCGCACACATGGTGTATTTGCATCCGAGAGCTTCGCAGATTCAGTGAACCGTAGTCTGTAGAGCGCGTCTAAAGCCGTGCTACGTTTCGCTACACATCTTAAGTATTTCCGACCGTAGCTTAATGCTACGACTTTTTTATGGATTCTTTAATTGGTGTAGTTTGTGTGTAAAAATAAAAGTTCTGAATGTGACAGCAAAATTCATGGAATATATAGAATTGGATAAGTTTGTAAGTTGGTTCACATTAATAACATATAAATTCAAATCTTAGACTTTATTCTTTAATTTATGCTCGTTATATTTTCATAAAATATACCTATTATTATAATATAATTTATTGTTTGTCCATCTCGATTAAATAATTAACATTATTAAATTATTTAATAAAAATATAGATAATTAACAGAATATAATCTGTAGTTAATCCCATTATCATTTTGATCGTGACCATTTTTTTGTTTTTAACTAGGGTTATGGAACTGTCAATTGCATTAATGATTATAATATATCATTAACATATTGTTAGATAATGTTTTATAACAATCTCGTAGTTTAAATATCTAATCTAGCAAATTTACATATATTATATCATATTTTTTATTAACTTGTTCCGGTATAATATATATAGCGTAAAAACATATATATTTTAATAAAAATTTGTAAATAACACATGAATTGGCTAACAAATTAATTTTATTAATAATAATTACAATACAGACTCGTATGTATTTGAAAAGCTGCTACCTTGAAATCTTACATTAGTTGAAATGTTAGATAGTAAATAACTCATCAAACGGCACATTTTTGGGAAGCCACAAAAAATGATAGCGTGCACGGGTTTTCGCCTAACCCTAAAAGACTGAAACCATACTACCACGTAATCTCTACATTTTGGTGTTAAATTACGTAAGCCGACAAACTAAAAAATAGGTAAATCCTATTAAACATACTGCCTTCATAACATACTATTCAACCTTTAAATATATAGAGCTAGTTATTTTTATAAATTATAGACATTACATATAATAAAATTATTAATTAATTAATAAACACCCATGTTCAACTAATTAGGTACTCTTTAAAACATTAAAAATGTTGTCTTTATCACACATAGTTCCAACACATTTAAATTTAATAAATAACCTAATTAGAAGTACAGTATAATAATACATACTCGTACGTACGAGTATATCGTAAAGAACAGGTACCAGTATTAAAAATAAGTCCTTTCAAATATATCGTTCAATCGCTGTTTATCGAACGAGCCCTTGCACAATAATGAGTTATGGAGTGGCAGCCGCAGGCGAGTCCATAAAAGTATTGAGTATGGGTTATTGACAAATATTTATGGCGTATAAAGAGGGGATAATTACAACTCTTTAGCACATAAAAAGCGAGGCACAGAAGGGTGCGCCGTAAGGTAATGTATACATTTATCGTCTACTTTTTCACCCGACGGGAACTGCCATTATACGAGACTAGCATTGCCCGTGGCTCCGCCCGCGTTCAGATGACCAAAAACCAAATTCTTAGGTTTTACATATTAGTATACTTACTTACAATGCAGTTTTTATATTTTTTCTCAGAATTGAGATATTTTCCAGCGGTAAAAAGGATCCTATACGTTGACCCGTATAACTAGCTGTCATCATACCAAATTTCATCAAACTCTGTTCAGTGGTTTTCTCGTGATGCGGTAACAGACAGACAGACAGACAAAAAATCTAAAAACTATAGATTCGGAGTCTGTATCGATAATAATGTCTGTTTAAATAAGATTTTCCAAAAAAATTTTAACGTACAGGTTCGACTTAGTTACAATTTTATTATACGAGTAGGTATGTATAGATTGTATGGATAAAGTATGACTAAAACAAGATTTTTTAATAGACGAAATTATGGAAATAACCAAAATAATTAAGGTATTTTGAGCATATTATTTTTATATGTTTATTTATAGAATTGTAATTTTATTACATAAAACTTGTGACTTTTTATTATGCAAAATTCAGTAAAATTATAAACTATGTATTTATTATTCCGAGCAAACAGTGCGGCTCTTGGTTCATCCGCGAGGCAACGAGCGGAATGTTATTAAAAAGTTATGGTATAAGCTCGCGATACGTGCGAACCCAATCCAATCATAAACTTTAAATGGGTATTGTAATCTAGATTTACCTGAATGTGACTTATTTTATGAGTATAATTATGTATACATATAATAAAATTCTAACTAAGCCGAATCTGTACATTAAATATTTTTTGGAAAATCTTATTGAAATAGACATTATTATCGATACAGCAGCCAAATCTATAGTTTTTAGATTTTCTGTCTGTCTGTTACCACATCATGGAAAAACCACTGGAGGGATTTTGATGAAATTTGGTATGGTGATAGCTGGTTATCCGGGTCAACATATAGGATATTTTTTACCTCGGGAAAATGTCTCATTTCTGAGAAAAAATACAAAAGCTGCAATGTAAGAGTATACTAATATGTAAAACCTATGAATATGGTTTTTGCTTATCTGAACACGAGCGGAGCCGCGGCCAATGCTAGTTACTTAATATAAGATAATAAATGTTTTAGATAATAGAATATCATAAACTTTACACTGTAAGAATATACCTAAAACGTTTAGCTTCCTTAAATTAAGTAACGACGACTGTATGCAAAGTTGGCTCAAAATTAATTCCCAAGCTAAGTAGATAATATAAGGAAGGCGCTTCCCTCCTCACCGGCCTCTTCACGCCTGGAGGAGAACTTTCAATTATGATTTTGTCTAATTTTAATTAAGTGCTCTCCAAAGGCTTTCTTCGACGAAATTAATAATTGAATATAATTTGGGTGAAACGCGCAGGCGGAGTTTTTGCCGTTTGAAGAATAATTAATTCTATTAAATAGCTGCATATTCCATCTCGGCACGCCCTTTTCTCTATCCTTTGAAGGAATATTTAAAATGTTATGATAATTACTGTATATTCTCTAGTTAACGTTGTAAATTAGATCTCGTCTATAAATAACGTTTACAATTTAAAAATTATGTTCAAAATGAAGAACAGTAAAGTTGTCGTGGCAATTTGCGCAACAGGTCGGGGCGGAAGCGACCTGCAGCGGCGTGATTGCGACCAAATGTTTCCTCCGTTACGTCTGACATAGTGTTTTTGCTAAGTTTTTTGTCACCTCTTACTGATAAGTATGCTATCGATAGGTTTGGGATGCCTGTTTGTTTAGGTGGAGTCTTAACTTGTAACGGAAATGATTGTGATGAATTTTATTTGTATTTACCGATACAGACACATACGAGTATATATAAGATGGATATTAACAGTCGTCAATTTACTTAACAATAACTGTTTTGTTTGCAGGTGTGTCGGTAAGGTCGCTATCGAGTATGCGCGAAGAATCTCTACCGATGTTAGCGGAAAGGTTGCTCGCGAGTCGCGCTGCGGCTCTTGTCGCCGGTTTGCCAGCGGAGCTGTACTCAGGGGCGCTACTAGCCGCGTGGCCACCGTCGCCCCCCGCACCTTTACTTCCTCCACCTGCTCCTGAGTTGGAGCGCGCTCGCAAGCGCCGGCGCACTCCGAAGCTTGATGATACTACCGCGACAGCACCACCCTCTCCTCCTTCTTCAGGGTCGTCACCAGGAGCTACAGATCCGCCTCGAGATAAACTTTTCACATGTAAAGTTTGTTCGAGATCCTTTGGTTACAAACATGTTCTTCAAAACCATGAGCGTACACATACTGGGGAAAAGCCATTTGAATGCGGAGAGTGTCACAAGCGATTTACACGCGACCACCATTTAAAGACCCACCTTCGTCTGCACACTGGAGAAAAACCTTACAGTTGTCCTCATTGTCCGCGGCACTTTGTACAAGTCGCTAATTTAAGACGACATCTCCGCGTGCACACTGGTGAACGCCCATACGCGTGTGCTCGATGCCCCGCTCGCTTTTCTGATTCAAATCAATTAAAGGCTCATGCTCTCGTTCATGAAGGTGATGCACCTTTTGCCTGCCGGTGTGGTGCTAGATTTAGGCGGCGGCAAGCTGCCGCTTTACATAGATGCTCGGGAAGCAGCTGTGAACCCGACACACCCAGCCCTCCAGCAGCAATCGCGCCAGACTGGCGCTGGGATGACTGGCCTGAACAAACGGAGCCTGAAGATTTGTCCCTGCCAAGGAGACCGGCCACGCCGGACTCGCCGACTGATTTACGCGTACACTCTGCGTAGTAGGCGCGTGCGTTGGGCCTAGCGCCTCGTGACGCTGAGCCGGTATACGAGTTCCTCCCATGTAGAGCCGCGCCAACGCCGCTTGAAGTACCGTTTTTCGCTCTCTCTCTCTCTATACACATTTTGCTTCTATTATTAAATTAAAGAATGCAAACTTCGTTATATTTAAAAATAGTATTTAAAAAATTGTAACGGTCACCTATGCCATTTTTTTAATCGTTCTCGGTAAGACTACCGGCAGGGTCTCGTTAGGTAGTTGACTATTATTAGTTTTTTTATTATTCCAAATTAGCAACGTCCACCATAAAAAGTTCTTTACGTTTATGTTACAATTTACAAGTTTATTGTTGTGCTATTTGCATAATCGCAAGGCGAGGTAGTGCAGAAACGAGACCATTTTTTGCCTTTTTGTTTCGTAATATAGAAAGAAAATCTTGCACAAAAGATATTTTTTGATTTATTATGTTTTTGTTCTTCATAAGTTAGAAAAACGTCTTTACATTACTCGACGTTTATTGATCTCGATCCAATGTCCTCCCTAAGCTCGACGAACGATAACCGGAATTCGATTGAGGCGAAGAAGGCCGCGACATTGGCTCATTGTTTCCGTTACAATGACTAGTTAACAATTGCTGATTACCGAGTATTGATTCGGCTGCCAATTCCACGCGGACAAAGACGCGTTACTGTCTGGGCCCTAACCTAATACTACTTATAACAACTGGTTCTCAATTACCCTTATTTGTACACATTTCTTTGAGTTTTCAAGAGTAATTTTATAATTTTTATAATTATAAAGTTTTGCAACAAAAGCTAGCCGTTGTGAAAACGATATTCGTAATAAAAGCCGGATAGGGGACCGTTATTAGAAATCAATGAAGCTTTAGTTGTAGTAATTACAGATGGAAACGAGTCTGTTTCGAGAGAGCGAGGAACGTAGCAAAAGGATCAGCCGACCAGGCGCGGCAAGCTTCTGTATATAAAGCTATCTCTATATTAAAATTATTTATTATTATTTATCCGTTAGTTGTAGGAATTTATATAGATTATTGGTATCGTGTAAACGATTATTATTGTTAAAATCGTATGTATATATTTATAAAAAACATTGCACGAAAAATTTTTGTGTTTTGTTTGAATCTTACAAGGTTTGTGTCACTAAATCTATTAAAATTAATGGTGTTATAACATGTAGATTAAACACAAAAATTTATTTGTTGGACCATGCTTGTTCTCGGGAATTATCCTTTGTTAGGGAATTATATTACGTTTTAGCTTATAGTTCAGTCATAATATTTAATGTGGATACTGTAAATAACAAGAAGTGATCTATTCCCGCAAACATGGCCCGCTTAGTATGTGTATAATGAAACAAACGTTTCGACAAAGATGTGTAAAAAGCATTTAGCACTCTTGCAATTTGTTTTACGGGTATTAGTTTCCTATTAGAGGTAGTATGATTATTTTCTTCGTTTTAATCTAATTTAATATCGTCAATAGTTGTTCTGAATGTTTTAGCGCACACGATCTGTACTTGATGTATGGATACAGTTTAGCAGTATTGATTGTTGATTATTATTATTTTATTTTCATTAGTATTAAGAGTCATGGATTTAAGGGTTTTCTCTAGCGTAATATTGAAAAGTTTACATAAGAAAATATTTTTTCCAAAGAAATAATAGGTACAAAATTAAATGTGTACAAATATAAGAGCGATTAGAGTTCAAAATTCCGATGTTGCAATGTTGTAATTATATTATTGGTAGTTAGTGTAATGTTAGTGCTGTGCCATTATCTACCTCATTGAGTGGTGACACTGTGCCAGGGTAAAGAGCCAAAGTTCTTCTAATGTTTTCTATTGTTCACTACATTTGAGACGATGTACAATCTACAGAATAAACAAAAATCATTTTTTATGTACATCGAATACGACTTTACTGATTAAGACTGATTTATTTCACCTTATTTAAAAACCTGAGTAAATAGGTTCTTAAAGGGTCGGCAACGCGCATGTGATGCCCCTGGTGTTGCAGGCGTCCATAGGCTACGGTAACCGCTTACTATCGACGGGCCGTATGCCTGATAGCCAACGACGTGGTATAAAAAAAAAAACTTATTACATTGTTTAGGGGATATCTTTTCTTTTCTTAATACTACATAAGATATATTTATTGAGAAATGTACGTTAAAAGTTCGTGGTTGTATTTTGATTTGCAATCATTTTGAGTTCCTATTTTATTTTATTGATATTTTTTTAAATATATTGTTTCTTGCGAAATTGTTTCTATTCATAGTTGGGCAATCTTAATACTGCCAGTTGCACTGTATTGTGCTCAAATAACGAAGCAGCTTAAAGTCTAACTTATGTGATAAAACTACACTTTTTGTAGAAGAAAATACTGCCATTAAATAGTACCTAAACTACCTACCTCATATTTCAGGTGTTCTCTAATGAAATAGTCTCGATTTTACCTTTACTGTTCTGATTGTACAAATTAATTATTATAGCGTATGGATGTAACATAGTTATGATGTGACAAATATATGTATATGTATTTCTTTATCAATGTCCAGTACATAACTATTAAATAAAGAAATGTTTGTTATTTAATTTCTCTTTTATTGTGTTATCCTACCCTTACGTTAACAGACAAAACAGTTTAAATATAAAAAACAAGTGATTTTGGACTTGTTATTTTTCTAGATATTCAAATTAATTGTTTGATCTTAAAATAAAATTTGTAAATTAAAACTATTTACATTTATCTGGTTTTGACATCTATCGGCACTTAGTGTTAGTGTTAACACGTCATGTGACCATGTCGATGACAACTTACATGAATTTACTGCCTATAGAAGTTTTCACTTCAATAACTTGATCAAACTTTAAAGCTTTGGCATTTTACTCATATATTCTTACTAGCGATTTGTCTAGCTTTGTTCGGATACACATACATACAAATTTTGGCATTTATATTGTAGTGTGATAAATAGTGGCAAGTGTTGTTAAAACCATATCGTATAATTTTTTGACGCACTCAATTCATTTTGTTTCATATACAGAATAGACTAAAAAAGTTAATAGGTATTATGAATAAGCTATGATCTTTTTTTTTAAACAATAGTTTAAAAAAAAAACTAAGTATAAGTTTGCCGAGCTGCTTGTTCAACCGACTTTCAAAAACATGGAGGTTCTCAATTCGTCGGAATCTTTTTTTTATGTATTGTCACCGATTACTCAAAGACGCCTGACCCATTTGGAATTGTGTTTTGGAGGGCATATACTCCCCAGGTGATCCCATTTAAATTTTATCGAAATCGGTCGAGGCTGAGGTCGAGGAGAAGGTTTTTAAAAAATCAACAATATTTTTTTTAAAAATAAATTGCTCATTCGAATATGTTATTAAAAAACTTTCTTCTTATAAATTACCTGCTTATTACGTATACACTAAAAATGGAAAAATAAAAACTAAAAAAAACATACTTCCAGGCACTAAAATGTAGAAAATTATTAAACGGGGGTTTACATTTAGAATGGATACCTAATCAGAAATTTTTTAGTTGGTGCCAGCCGACAACATTTTAAGATATGAATATCTAATAGGTAAATATGATTGGGTATAAACTGTAATTATAGTTAAAATATTATACATCACTTTGTGATGTATTTTACATATCGAAATTTATTAGATTTGCTTTGCATCGGCTGGCACCGACTTCGAAAATATCTGATTAGGTATGTATTGATTATATGAAAACCCCCGTTTAGTAATTTTTTACATTTTAGTGCTTGGAAGTCGGTTTTTTTTAAGTTTTTATTGCATAATTTGAATCCTTGAATGTAGTGTGGTATTGACAATTTTGCCATCTATTTTTATCATCATTAAGAATTAACAACAAAAAGACCATTCTTAGTTAGCTACATATGGATTTATAAGATTAAGATATCAATTTTTTAGCCCACTTGAAGTAGCAGTAAGCCCGAGCGAATCTGAAAATACGAATCACTCAGGACAAGCTTCACATGTAAAAAATATAAGGTCTCGTCGCCTTTTTCCCCTATTTAAACTCATCTATAGAGTGCTAATGCGAGTACATTGCGTTAGATGTCGCTTGTAGTAGCAAAGAGTCATTTATTTTATCTTTATAAAGATTGTATATTTAAATATAAATATTGAAGATTTATAAAGTTATCGATAGATTTTATACGTATGTATATAAGCAATAATGTAAAAGGTTTTTTTTCTGTTTTCATTTTTTTTATTTGTATTTAAGTATGTGTAAAAATATCTAGATCTAATACAAATAAATATGAAAGGTAATGCTTTATCTAAATTACAATTCACATGAATTAAGATTCCTATCGAGCAAAATATCAAAGGCTCACAAGATGAAGAGAAACAATATATTATGACTAAGCCATACCGTTTCAGTACTAATCTATATAGCCATACTATTCAGATAACAAAAAATTTAATATGCAGATTTAAAATAAATATAAATTGAATATAAGTGATTATTTTTTTTATTTTAAAATAAATAACACTTTAAATATACAAGAAAATAAAATAAACTAAATTTAGATTACGCTAATAGAAAATAGATGCTCTACAACAGTACTCACAAAGGCATATTAAAGAGGCAAGAACAGCGAATTATAATTTATTTGGAGAAGTGGCAACGAGCGCCGCGCCTCGCTTGCCCGGCCTACCCTTTGCTTTTGCCCTTCGTTATGGCTCCACTTCCCAAGTATTGCAACTCGAATATATTTTTGCAAGTTGCAAAATATGTTTTTTATTCATATTATTATATACAAGATTATGCACTGAAAAATTACATTGGTATATATATTAAACAGTCATTTTGATTTGCTTAAATATAAATATTAATTTATATTTCGACGTTTTTAATGAAATGATTTTAAATTTTATTAGCCACTCTTGTTAAAATATTATGAACGTATCTACAGTTAAAATACTTATTTAAAAGTCTTATTA